GCTGCCCTTAATCTTAGCTGGGAGAAGAAACAACGACGGTCCACATTGCTACCGGTCAACATGCAACCGAAGGAGTTGCTGCCTGCAGGCGACGAAATTGTGACTGCGGCCACGAACTTGAATTGCAAGGCGGCCATCCTGGATCTCGCCAACCCGAAGAACTGCCTTGTATGGACGCCAACCGATTTTGATGCTCTGCGCAAAATGATGACGAATTTGTGCGGTAATAATTGGATTCTGATTGTATTTGCTCCGCAAAAACAGCACAAGGCCGTCATGAAGCAACTTTACAACTGGGACGATGCAGAGGTGCTACTCGGGACTTGGAAGCGTTATCTCGCGTTCGGAACGGCTGTCAGCAAGTATGAAAACTGACAAGTCGATTATAAGGACACGATGGCGGTCGTCCTGCATGCTGAGGGGGGCAACCTCAGGAAGGTAACGAGGGCTCATAAATCGGAGGCAGAGATAGTGGAGCTGAACGTTGATGAGGAGCAATTCAAGAGATGCACAACAAAGCACGGTGGCGAGGAAGGAAACGAACGAGAGGTGTATGAGCGGTGGGAACGACATCCTAAACGGTTGCAGAAGTTATGCAGTTCATTTCTGCACGAGGACGAGGGGGTGATTCTTATTAGAAAGTCGCATGCCGGACTTGTGTGGGAGCTCCTGCGCGCTGGCCATCATGTTTCCGCATGCGACTCGTCGTCAAAAGACATTTCATACTTGACGAAGGTCATCGAAATTCTCGGGAAGGATGCGAGAAACGAATGCACCGTTAAGAGACAGAAGACTGCGCATCGTCCTGACAGGGACATGTACCACAAGCTGTGCAAGAAGAGAAACAAGATGTGGGAATATTTGTTCCAAGGCCAACCCAAGACGCCATTCGAGCATGACTACATAGTTCGCAAAGCGATGGCACAGGAAGCGTATAGTGGCTACCATAAAGCGCAAGTGGGGTCGTTTGCGATGTTCGTAGCAAGATGTGAACGAATGGAGTTCGGAGGAAATCAGGCAATGCTGACGTACGATGGATACAGCAAGATTGCCAAAGAATATGAGGCGTGGAATCCGATCGAGAGCGATGAGGAGACTGAAACCTCAGACCTCGAAATCGAGGAGCGAGTGAAACGTATGCGAGAGGGAATGAAAAGCGTGCCTGCATGCAACGCGCCAAGCCTCTAGGAAGAAGAAGTTCGCACGAAATCGGCGGGTGCGAGCAGTCTAACGTGTGACGTGACCGACAGGGCGAGTTCCATTGAACACATGCAAACGGATTCGCTTACGCCAATTCAAGCACTTGAGAATGTACTGATTCATGACAATCGTCAAGGGTTCCGCGAAAAGGCTCAATCTCGAGGAAACCAGGTCAACGAAATGCGGCCAGACGATGACGAGGATGACTTTGCGGTTCCAAATGCCCTCCCGAAGCTGATGGCATCACATTTTGTGGCATATGAACCTATTCGAGCCATGCATTGTACAAGGGAAGTGGATGATGGCAGTCCATTTAACAAAAGGATGGAAAGTCAGAGCCAGACTGGATGAAGCCTCGTGGCTGAAATTGGCGAAGAGCGAAATCGTATTTCGTGTTAGGAAAGAAAATGACGGAGCGGACGAAGCAGCTATTAAGGAAAAGGCTCGATTGCTATTCGAATGTCTTCACTCCAAAAACCGACTGGAATATAAACACGGATTCTATGACTTGGAGTCAAGTCGGTCATACAAGAGCATCAACTGGAAGATCGATCTTCCCCAAGCWRGCCATGGCGTTGAGACAATCCGGTTGGGATGCTCACAGATTGGGGGGGAGTCGAACACGCAGTTTGCAACGAGTGTTGGGGAAGCGATGAGTCAGACAACCAGCAAGATAATGGAGGCGACCGAGGTTCCACGGAATGTCGACAAAATGGCATCGAAYGTTACATCGTACGGACCTCCTCTAATAACGCAGGCGGGAAACGAGTGTGCATCGCAGATGGTGAGCCCCACTCCTTCCGGGAGTGGGGCTGTTGCAAATGAAATGCAACAAGGTGGGTATGCACAACGTGCGAGTGAGGTGCAAAATGATTCCGATGAGATGATGAAACTGCTAGATGAAACAGAGAAGGAGGGGACGAGGAAGGTCGAGGGACCAACCACGTCGAAGTCGGTGATTAATTGCATTTCGTTGAGTGATGAAGGGATAGACGGAGTTGTGGAGGGGCGCGATGACAATGACGATGCAAGGGTAAAAGTCGATGAACAGCGGCAAGGGGATGACGAAGGACGACCTGCAAGACGGTCGACAAGAGAAGTAAAGGAAAAACATCCAATTAATGTGTAGGTATGTGCAGAGGCTGAGTTCGGGTTGGCGTGACACTCGATTGATGTATGTGACAATGTGTACGTAACTCATATAAGTGTTTTCGGTTGAAGACGTGTGATATAATAATTGATTCCGCAGTGATTTGAAGAGGACATTAGATTACAGTGAAATGCATAATCTCTCTCTCTCTATCTATCTATCTCTC